AGAGTGAAATAAAAAAAAATCTTCTCAAAATAACAATTTTTTTTTTATTGACTACTTACATCACTTAAATATAATGCATATTTACGAAATATGCTCTAATCTATGAAGAGGGTTAAAGATTAAGTAAAAAAAAAAAAAAAAAAAAAAAAAAGGAACAAAAAAAAAACAAAAAGAAAGAATCATCATGAGACAACGACGCAAAGAAAAAGAAATACTTTCCCCAGAAATTTTTATTTCACTTTCGCCTATACAATATAGAAATCCAATGGCGGCTGGAGATCGAAATAACATATCAACGTATCCGCGCGAATCTCCATCGAAAGCATCGCCATGCCACATTTACATTTCACCAAAACGTTGCTTTTCACGTTGGCAATCGTCTTGAAAACGAATTGAGGAAATCGAAGTTATAGTCCTTGCTCATTTAACCATGGATTTTTTTTTTTTTTTTTTTAAACATTAAAGTCATTTTTGAGATCTCCGCTCGCCAAGTACGGTAAAATACGCAATCGCAGAAGGCATCCTACACCCGAGAGTAGTAATTGTAATATAATCGTTTATTTGTAAATCTTAGAAAAAACGGGAACGCTCTCAAACTTTTTTCTGTATTTCTTCGACAGATTCTCGTTCGTCCAGAGAAAACCTTAACAACATCCTTGTCTTCCGTTCACCTACGCTCTCTTTCAACGCCCACCTCTCCCTCACCTTAATCACACAACCTTACGTTTCCTCCCATATAGCCTGTTGTTTTCACAATGTTGTTGCCGTGTCGGTAGAAAAAATTGGTCTAACTACGCGTCCTTCGTTAACTTTTAATTATCCATCCATTAATTAGCATCGGTATCGGTATGTACATGAAAGGCAAATGTGAAGTAGTACCTGAATAGTGTTATTATTCTTCCTTCCGTGTTCTGTATCCGTATATACATATACATATACATATACCTACATACATATACATACATACATACATACATATATATATATATATATATATTTTTTTTTTTTTTTGCTTATTTTGCTTTTATTTGTATTTTTAAACCATTTATTTATTTACTTCGTTCGTTCGTTCGTTCGTTCGTTCGTTCGTTCGTTCGTTCGTTCCTTCCTTCCTTCCTTCCTTCCTTCCTTCCTTCCTTCCTTCCTTCCTTCCTTCCTTCCTTTCTTCCTTTCTTCCTTCCCTCCTTCGTTTTTGTTAATTAAGATTCATCACTCATCACTCATCATTCAATTCCCGTTCGCTCACTATTTGCACATGCAATTCCATATTTGCTCTCTTGACTTGTTTTATATTAAAAAAATATGCTTATTCAATCGCTTTGTAATAGCATCCATAGATGTTTTGTTTATATGTTGTTCGAGAATATCTCGATCGAATACTCCTCGTTTATTTTGTAACACACCGTTATTTTATAATCAATCGCTCTCGACGAACATATCTATTTAAGCAATACATAGTCACGCGATTATTAATAATTATTAATATTAATATAATTAATATTCACATACTTAATGTATTCGCCTTATTTTTGTAAACTTATTCGCCTATCTTATTTATATTATACATTGCAGTAAATGTTAGCGCCTCTGTGTATATTCGTAATTCGCGTTCTATCGATTGAATTCCTCGATTAAAATGTTATTCGAAATGATGCTAGAACCGCTAAAAGAAAATTACAAGATAAAAGGGCTCGCTAAACATCGACTTTTCTGCCAATGATCGTCCTCATCGTCGTCGTCGTTGTCGTCGTCGACGTCATCATCATCATCATCATCATCATCATCATCATCGTAATCATAATCATTATCATTATCATTACAATTAACATAATCATTGTTATTCTTATTCTTATTCTTATTATTATTATTATTATTATTATTATTGTTGTTGTTGTTATTATTATTATTGTTATTAATATTATTATTATTATTATAATTATTATTATCATTATAATCATTATCATTATAATTATTATATAAGCTTTATCATATATTTCTCCGCTCGAAGCACCGAACGCTCTACATATTTATCGTATCGATCCGCCCACTTCTATCATTCAGGCGCCCGATTACACATACATAGGCACACGAACACGACACACATATGCGCTAACAAATTCAAACGCTTGCGCACACACAGACGCACACTCACGTACTCTTGTAGATTAAATGCAAGCTCTGCCATATAATGCATACAAATTTTTTGTATATTCATATATATATATATATATATATATATATATAAATGGCTATATAAATTAAGACGTAAAAGTGTAATATATTTAATATTATTATACGTATTATTACACGTAAGAACGTCAAAAATCGCTTGGCAACAAATATATTCTCTTTTTTTTCGATCTATTTATAAAATATCATAATTAACAATGAAAAAAAACAAAATAAAAAAAATATATTATAAAGGAAACTGAATTTTTCCTCTCTGTAAAGATTGATTTTTTTTTTTTTTTTTTTTACAATGCAGGGAGAGAAAGAGAGAGAGAGAGAGAGAGTAAAATGTTACATTCCTCCCATGCGTTCATATGTGTGTGATGTAAGTTGATACATTTACGCGTGCATACTCTGCACGCGCAATTACGTACATTGCGCCAACATACATATAAAAGAAAAAACAAATTATTCGTGTACACGCGCGCTCACATAGTTTGCACGCATGGCGCGTATTTATATATGACTATATATACATGTGTGTGTGTGTGCGCGCGCGCGTCCGTATATTCTTGCGTACGGATGCGTATCCACGGCTGCGCATTATATATATATATATATATATATATATATATATATATATTGGTTTTATATTTTTATATATATATATATATATATATATATATATATATATATATATATATATATATATATATATATATGCATATATGATTTATAAGTATGCGCGTGTGTATGTGAACGTAGGGAGTGTAACTCAGGGTGATCGGGTGTCGTCGACGGAACGAAATATTCTTGGTACGCTCTGCGTGAGGCTTATTCGGCTTATTCGGCATATTCTGCTTATCCTCGACCTCCGTCGCGCCCTAATAAATAATCTGGCCACCGTAATCGTCGCCGGCGCGATATTAGAGCCGATGCTGCGATGATGGCCCGTGAGAGTGGAGTGGGGTGAGGTGGGGTGGGGTGGAGGAGGTGTGTGTGTGTGGTAGAGAGGTAGGGAGGGAGGGAAGAGGAGGCGAATATTCGTTGCCGTCGAGCGGATAGAAGGTGGTGGTCGGATGATTGGGCAGGTGCGAGGCACTCGTGCGGGAAGCCAGCCGAGTGAGCGAGCGATGACGCTGTCTCGGAATCCCGCGCGCGCACTACCGCGATAAGATTTTCGTCGGCGAATCGACCAGAGGCCTGACACTCGGCGCCGCTCGATTTCGTCGAGTTCGGCGCGCACCATCGGTTCCCTTCCCCGGGGTGAGCCGAGCATTAACCAACCGGGACTTCACTCCTTGTGCTCCGGATGCTGCTGCTGCTGCTGCTGCTGTTGTTGAGGATGTTGCTGATGGTGCTGAGGCGGTTGCTGCTGTTGGTGCTGTTGGTGCTGATTATGATGTTGGTGCTGATGTTGGTGCTGGTGTTGCTGGTGCTGCTGGTGATGCTGGGGCTGCTGTTGTTGCTGTTGTTGCTGTTGCTGTTGCTGTTGCTGTTGCTGTTGCTGTTGCTGTTGCTGTTGCTGTTGCTGTTGCTGTTGCTGTTGCTGTTGCTGTTGCTGTTGCTGTTGCTGTTGCTGTTGCTGTTGCTGTTGCTGTTGCTGTTGCTGTTGCTGTTGCTGTTGCTGTTGCTGTTGCTGTTGCTGTTGCTGTTGCTGTTGCTGTTGCTGTTGCTGTTGCTGTTGCTGTTGCTGTTGCTGTTGCTGTTGCTGTTGCTGTTGCTGTTGCTGTTGCTGTTGCTGTTGCTGTTGCTGTTGCTGTTGCTGTTGCTGTTGCTGTTGCTGTTGCTGTTGCTGTTGCTGTTGCTGTTGCTGTTGCTGTTGCTGTTGCTGTTGCTGTTGCTGTTGCTGTTGCTGTTGCTGTTGCTGTTGCTGTTGCTGTTGCTGTTGCTGTTGCTGTTGCTGTTGCTGTTGCTGTTGCTGTTGCTGTTGCTGTTGCTGTTGCTGTTGCTGTTGCTGTTGCTGTTGCTGTTGCTGTTGCTGTTGCTGTTGCTGTTGCTGTTGCTGTTGCTGTTGCTGTTGCTGTTGCTGTTGCTGTTGCTGTTGCTGTTGCTGCTGTTGTTGGTGGTGGTGGCCGCTATCGGGTTTGGCGCCGGCCTTCGTCGAGTCCATGGACGAGCGCGTCGAATATTGGCCGCCGCTCGACTGACCGGAGCGCGGTACCAGCACCACGTTCCCGTCGGCCGACAGTTGCAGGCTGTAGTCCATCGTGTTGTAGGGGTGGCCCTCGGGGTTGCGCAAGGACTGCAATCAAAGGGACGATCAAGGATTAGTAAGGGCTGTAGCGATGGTCGGTTATGAGGCAATGTGATAGAACCCGGTCTTTTTTTTTTTCCCTCTTCTTTTCCCCTTTCCTTATCGATGACACGATGGCTCTCTTTTTTCTCGCTCACTCACTCACTCACTCGCCCACTCACTCGCTCACTCGCTCACTCACTCATTCACTCACTCACTCACTCACTCACTCGCTCACTCACTCACTCACTCGCCCACTCACTCGCTCACTCGCTCACTCACTCACTCACTCACTCACTCACTCACTCACTCACTCACTCACTCACTCACTCACTCACTCACTCACTCACTCACTCACTCACTCACTCACTCACTCACTCACTCACTCACTCACTCACTCACTCACTCACTCACTCACTCACTCACTCACTCACTCACTCACTCACTCACTCACTCACTCACTCACTCACTCACTCTCACACTGTCGCTTAAATTGGCAATCTGCGACGCGGCTTGGGCTTCGAGGGTGAACTCACGTGGAAAATGTGCCGGTAGAGCTGTCCAAACTTCTCCTTTACGCGCGCCACCTCCTGGAGCATGTAGTTCCTCTCGCTGAGCAATCGCATCTTGCGGTTGCGCATCTCCTTGACCTCGTCGCTAAGGCTATTGATCTGGTCGAGCTTGCGTTTGCGGCAGTTCTGGGCGGCCACTTTGTTCTTGCCCCTGCGCCTTATGTCGCGGATTAGCGACAGCTGGGCCTCGCTCAGGTCGTACTTGCTCAGCCGCTCATTGAACTCGTCCATCGGCAGGTTTATGATGTCGCTGACGGCAATGGGTACGTTGAGGGCCCGAGCGCGCTTCTCGTCTCGCGTCAGGTGCTCCTCGCCTTCGCTCTTGCGACCTGACGACCCAAAGACGCGTGACGCTGCTCGTTTCATTGGTTCGATAAAGAGGTGATATATCAGGTTGGGATAGGATGCAATGTTGTGGCATGGAATGCCGTGGGAGAGGTGAAAGGGTCGGCGAGGGGGTAGAGAGGGGGAGTAGGACCACGGTGAGTAAATCCAAAGGGAGGGCTCGCGTAGTTAGGTGAGCCAACTTAATGGAAAAATACGTCTAATTGATGGAGAGGTGGGGTGGGGGGGGGGGGGGGGGGGGGGGGGGGGGGGTAACGATGAAAAGTTGGAATAACTTTAAGGAGCAACATTTATTTTTAAAGCGTTATGCAATGCGATAAGGCGTTATAATCGCGTTTGGCAGGCTGGATTGTCGCAATATCGTTGCCAACGAAGGCTTAAAATACGACTTTTTCAGCTTTAAAGCTCCATGCCTGTGCGCGGCATAATGGTATTTTAATTTGAGGGTTTGGCGGGCGATTAAAGGCAGAAGAGGTAGACGGTGGATTTAGCAAAATTTTACCTTTCTTGTCGCGAGAAATTGGACGTTGGAGGGATCCGGTACTCTCTGGTGGAAGATGATACGTATGATTGTGATGAACGTGCTCGAGGTTTGAACGGCCTGCAACAGAAACAAATCAAATATATCCAGTTCTCTCCTTCTCATCGTCACCATCATCGTCGTCTTTGCCGTCGTCGTCGTCGTCGTCATTATCGTCGTCGTCGTCGTCGTCGTCGTCGTCGTCGTCGTCGTCGTCGTCGTCGTCGTCGTCGTCGTCGTCGTCGTCGTCGTCGTCGTCGTCGTCGTCGTCGTCGTCGTCGTCGTCGTCGTCGTCGTCGTCGTCGTCGTCGTCGTCGTCGTCGTCGTCATTATCGTCGCCTTTGTCGTCGTTATCATCGTCGTCTTTGTCGTCGTCGTCGTTGTAGTCGTCATAGTCGTCATAGTCAATATCGACATTATCATTATCATTATCATTAACATTATTATAAGCACTGTTGGCAGTAGGGCCACGTGGTATTTAAACTAGGCTTTGCAATTCCATCCTTGTAACCTGTTGTTATTCTGAAATTTTAGCTTAACCGCGTCATGATCACTTCACATCCACGCCGATCATTATACAATTAACGATTGACTCTCCGCTCTCGGATCCCAGCGTCTCGATCGTCATTGGCACGCGTTGACAAGGAAATGTAATGAAATGCATTTTGCTAATGGACGGGAATCGACGATGTCGATGGATGCGATTGTCATTACTCTCGTCCCGCACCTCGACATAAAAAGCAAAGAGTCCGCCTCGTCGGGGAATACGTTTGGATATTTGGAGCTGCTTCGGATGCCGAGCGACCGCTGACTCTTGTCGTCTCCTCCCGTCCCCTCTCACCTCGTCCCGCCCGGGGGTGTTCCATATACCCGCGGACAATGTCGCCCACCCCGCCCCCCTCCGACCACCTCCTCCCGCCAAAAGACGCCAACTCACCGTTCTGGTGTCGGCCAAAGTCCAAGCTGCAGCTGTACTTGATCTCGCTCTGCGGTCCGGCGGCGCCCTCGATGGGCCCGGAGTAGGCCTGTCCGGGTGGCCCGGCGGCGACCGTCTGCGCCGCCTCGTAGTCGTACTTCATGGGGGTGGCGGCAGCCGGATGGTGAGCCGATGAGGCAGCGAGGGGTAGAGGCGAACCCGCGGCTCCGCTCATCGGGCCCTGCTCCTGGAAGCAGCGTTTCCCAAACATGTGGTGCTTCTTCTGGGCGACGGGAGCCATGCTGGCTCGCTCGGCGGCCGCGTGGCAGCCCCGCTGGTGCTGGCTCGGGCGACCCGGTGTCAGGGAGTAGCCGCAGTCGTAGGGCATGCGGTACTTCCTGCCTCGGCGAACAAACAAACGAACGGGGACTTTTGGTTAGAGTGGGCTCTGATTGCGATTGGACCCGGGCCTCGATAGTCCCCGCGAAGCCTTCCTCGACCTGCCCCAACCACCGTCCTCCGTCCCTTAACTCGGTCAAACTCCAGGGTGCCTACCTTCCACCTTGGGCCCGGTGACTCGAGTTGAATTGCGCGCGTCGGAGCGGCGGGATATTAAGGGATTATCGATGTTAGATCGTCGGTCGCCGGGGTATGTTAGAGTCGGATGGTGTGGGACGATTGGGCGAGGAGGACGGCGCGTAGGGTCGGCTATGGTCGGCTATGGTCGGCTATTGCGCTCACCCGGTGTAGTCCATGGAGTAGTGGGAGTCAGCCTGGGTGTGGCTCGAGTTCGAGCCCGTTTCCATCCATTCGCCGTCGCTGAGTGATGGTACGCGCTCGCTGCCCATGCTGCTGACGGCGCTGTCGCTCGAGGCGTCCATGCGCTCGTCCGGGGCGGTGGCCGTCGTCGAGGTCGCGCCCGGTCCCACGACCGTGGCGCTCGCCCCTGCGCCCTGGACTCCCGGGAGCGTCGCCGTGGCGCCGGTTGCACCCGACGCGCCCCCGTACAGACCTGTAAAAGCAAAATGGGACGGGGCAGGCGTTAGTCGAGTTTGGCGGAAGTCGGTGCTTGCGTCTGACCGGGGGGGGGGGGGGGGGGGTTA